CGATAGATATCTGGTCTTAGTCTGAGTACTTAGTCCATGTGGATGAGTGCTTAGTCCTTTATGGATGAATATTTAATCCTTTAGGGATGAGTATTTAGTTATACGGTATTTAGTGCTTTATGGATGGGTATTTAGTCCTTTATGGATGAGTACTTAGTCCATGTGGGTGAGTACTTAGTCCTTTATGGATGTGTATTTAGTCCTTTATGGATTAATATTTAGTCTTTTAGGAATGGGTATTTAGTCATTTAAGGATAGGTATTAATTGCTTTTTGGATGGGTATTTAGTCCCTTATGGATGGGTATTTAGGGCTTTATGGATCGGTATTTACACCTTTATGGATGGGTGTTTAGTCCTTTATGGATGAATATTTAGTCCTTTAGGGATGGATATTTAGTCCTTTATGGATGGGTATTTATTGCTTTATGGATGGGATTTACTTAGTGCTTTATGGATGGGTATTTAGGGCTTTATGGATGGGTATTTAGTCCTTTATGGATGGGTATATAGTGCCTTATTGATGGGTATTTAGTGCTTTATGGATGGGTATATAGTCCTTTAAGGATGGTATTTAGTCCTTCATGGGTAGGTATTTAGTCCTTTATGAAAGGGTAGCTGACATGTTGTCTTTCAATCTTACTAAGACATACTAATCAGCTTCTCTCTTCAGTTTGTTCAGTTAAGCTTTAAAATAAAAGATGGCTGCTGATTAGTTGCCATGCACATGTGCTCCAGAATTTGTCTGCTCCAGTTTTGATAAATTCCCTTCTCTGTATACCTACATATACCTAGCCACATCAACTAATTCAAAATAACCAAGAACTGGCATATTTTCATTGTCTACTATATTATCCTTCCATGTGTCTTTAAACAGTGTAGGATATCTGAAGACCATATCAGCATTTAGTGTCAGGTTGAGCCATTCAGCGTAACACAACACAAAGCATTTTATCATATAAATAATATAGTGTCATAAAAGGTTGTGTAGTTGCGAAGCAACTGTACTGGAGCACTAATTACAAGTGGGTAGATTTCAGGCAATGATGGTCTATATATGCTAATAGGTCTTTCCAAAATTAAAATGGCACAGTAGGTCAATACTGTACTCTCAATAGGCAGGAATTTATTTAATGATTTTTATCAAATGTTGCCTGATATCACTCGTCTCATTTCCACCATTAGCGGTATACCTACACCTATGGACCCCTGGATATGCCTCTTCCATCTTAACCCCCTCTCAGCACGTCCGTATAAGAGATCGGTGATTCCCTTTATGCTCAATGCCGCAAAAGCCCTTATTCCCAAATACTGGAGATCTGCCCACATACCTACTGTGGCGGAATGGCTGACACGGGTAGACCACCTGCGATTGATGGAAGAATTGCACCACTCTCCATGCTAATTTTGTATGCCGGTAGCTGTCATATACCTCATCATATTATGCTATGTCTCCTATAAATCGACCATTGACCCACTAGTGGGGCCATGGGAATGTATGTGTCACGCAATGCCTCGCCACGGGACTGACCATGCTGAGCCCCACTCGCCCCAACATACCCCCACCAAGGGAATCCCTGGTTCCCCTACATCCCTGATGTCCCCTGGTGTTTCCTGTCCCACCACATCCCCTCTGTACTATATGTAATGTGATTGTCCATATGTTAGTATACACTGTATTGTATTTCTGTATTTCTGTGAACTGTTATACTTTGAAAACCTTTAATAAAAACTTAATATGAAAAAAAAAAAAATTACAATTAACTTCTATACTGCAGTGTATCTACTACAACAGGACCTCTAAGACCCATTCTCCCACACCTACTCAGCTGTTTAGCTGCATCCAAAGCAGATTTTATCTTAAATAAACTGATACTTAAAGGGCACCTGTTATGACAGAAATATGTAGACAGCAATTGCTGTACCTTCCATCTAAAAATGCTAGCTGTGTCTGGTCTACATAATTTCTGAGTCACTGGCAAAAAACATCTACCATATATACTCGAGTATAAGCCGAGATTTTCAGCCCATTTTTTTGGGTGAAAAGTGCCCCCCCTCGGCTTATACTCGAGTCAGCGCCAGCGCGTCTTCTTACTTACCTCGCCGAGCGTCGCGTCACTGCTGCTCCGGTGGGCGGCGCTCCGAGCGGGGTCATCTGGCAGTCTCCGGGTCCTAATTTAGGTGGCCGGAGACTGCCAGATGACCCCGCTCGGAGCGCCGCACACCGGAGCAGCAGCGACGCTCAGCGAGGTAAGTAAGAAGAAAAAAAAAACCCCCGCAGCGGCCAGTCAGGCAGGGGAGCAGGGATGAGTCAGCGGCGCGCTGATCAGGCGAGAGGAGCTCCAGGTGGGGTTGTAATTTAGCGGGCAGGCACCTCTGAGCCAGCTAAATTAGGACCCCACCTGGAGCTCCTCCCACTGGACCAGCGCGCCGCTGACTCGTCCCTGCTCTCTCCGTGATGTGATGATCGATCACCGGCACACGGACACAGTGAGTGAGGGCAGATGGGGGGGGGAGGGGGGGTAGTGAGAGATTTATTAAGCAATTATATATGTATTGTCTGCACTGTATTAGCAGTATATACTCTATATAGAGTATATACTGCTAATACAGTGCAGACAATACATTTACAATTATACTAACATGAATGTATTAAATGATCTGTATGTAGCCCTGTACTATGGATCATTTAACCCATTCATGTTAGCAGAGGATCATTGTAAATGTATTGTTGCAGGCACTCTATATGTACATGTACTATATACTACATATAGAGTGCACTGAACAATAGATTTACAATTATCCTCTGCTAATATGAATGGGTTAAATGATCCGTAGTACATGATATGTAGCCCTGTACCCCCTTTTCCACTTACAGAGCTAGGTTATTTTTCTTTTAAATAAATATTCATGTAATTTTATTGGTATCTATCTACCAGTAGCTGCCTCATTTCCCACCCTCAGCTTATATTCGGGTCAATACTTTTTCCCAGTTTTTTTTGGTCAAATTAGGTACCTCGTCTTATATTCGGGACGGCTTATACTCGAGTATATACGGTGTACAGATAAATGCTTCTGACTTGACTTTGACTTCTCATGCTGATTGCTTGTTCTAACTTAGAGAGTGTTAATTCCAGAAACTGGCAGGAGCAGGTTAATAATTAGCCTACATGATTCTTTATTGACAGGTATATTTTAAAGTCTACGTTTATCTCTTTTCATGTTACCCTCATATTTATGATGTCACCGCACTTGTAGTCCATCAGCACATCCTCCCATCCTTGCTACAGAATGCTCATACCTTAGTACAGACTGGGATGGAAGGAAGAGTCTGCAGGAGCCAGAGCGTTGCACCAGTAAAGCAGTTTAAATGCTTTACTAGTTCCAAAGCAAAAAAATTATAAATGTACATATTTTCTTTTATGAATATGTGTGCATTCATTTTTTTAAAGGTGGACTTTAACTTTAAAGCATATCTAAACCAAAAAATAAAAATTTAATACACTGCAGCTAACCAGTCCTTAGATGTGGTGGCTGCATTAGTTTATTCATTTTAGGCTTTTTTCTCTTCCTTTTCATTGAGTGATCTGGCCAGTACCATACTTCCTGTCCAAGGATGTCTTCACTCTATGGAGGAGCAATGGAGCCACCCTTGGACAGCAGCACTGTCATCCTATGGAGAGGGGAGTGTTTGATGGACTAGCAGATTTTGATGGAGTTGACCAGCAAATTAAAGCAGAACTCCAGCTGACACTTTTTAGGCTGTTACAGCAAAAGTTTCATAATAATAAATGCTATCCGTTATAAGCATCCTCGTCAGTATCAAATGGTTTGTCTCATCCTTCAGTTTGGTCTATTAAAGGAAGTTGAAAAATAGCAGACTTACTGACCAGATCACAAGGTGAAAAAAGCTTAAAAAAAGAAAACTATTGCAGCCCCCACATTGGTAAGCTATAATATGTTCCATTTATGTTTTTGGGTTTAAATACACTTTGAGTCCCTATTCACACTTTTGCGTTGAATTCATCACTTGTTAATGGAACCCCAAACACAGCCGGTAAAATGCACGTCTGTGCCCGCGCACCAAACATGCATAAATACCTGGTCAAAAAACGCATGAAGCTCACAACTCAAGCTTCTGCATGAGCTTTTTTGCCACATTTGTAACGTGTGCTGCAAACCTGCCACACACCGCAAGTGTACACCAAGTGTGAACGGGGTCTAAACAAGACCCAGCTCTTGTATGAGGTCTAACAGAATTCCTCTTGGTGCTCTCCATCAATTTATTTGGCCGTAGAAGCATGAAATGCCCCCTGATGAAGTCACGTGTAACTACGACGTAACGTACCCTGGGAGTATTCCGAGAAATGGCAGCGCTATAATCTGAATTAGGAGATGTTATCTGGCTTGGATGCGTTTTTATCATTTATGTTTGTTTATTGGGAGTGGACGGTGAAAGGCGCAAAGCGCACAGAGGATTTTGTTTTGCTATATCACTTGATGTAAACCCATGTAGGATTGGTGGGTGCACAACTTTTATTTTATTGCACTATTGGTGTATCAATTTAAAGTGCACTTTTCTCATGTTTATTGCAGTTTATAATATGTAATTGTTGCACTATTAATCAGAGTGGACTCTTTTGATAAGATTCTATATATCTGTTGAAAATTAGCACCTTTTAATAAGAATGTAATACATAAATGTCACAGAAGTTTAACTATTTAGGGGTATGAGCGGGCACATTATTGATTAATTATTGCAGTAGCATGAAAAGCTGAATCTGCAGTAAAAAAGAGTACAATTTAAACTATTTCACAATTCCTGGAATCCGTTTTTCTTGGCCATGTTTCAATTACTATTCATTTATACCTGTTATGTGTCGTAAAATATTAAATTGCACAACACTTTGATAACATCACAATCGCCTTTAGTTTTGACAAGCACGTGCAAATTGTACATGTGTTTCGATCAATATTACTAACAATTATTTTCTATCAGTCAACTTGTATTCAGGTTTATTGGCCATATCTTGGATTCTAAAAATCCATTTTATGAAATGCTTGCAACATCTAAAGACAAGCTGATAAAGTAACTCAAATCCAGCCAAATACATAGCAACTCGCATCCCAAAGCTTTTATGGTAAGTAAATCATTTTTATTGCAGTCTGTTCTTATTGTTGTTGTTTTTTCTTACATGACTGAAAACTAAAGAAATGCCTGTTCAAAAAAGCCAACCAACTAAGTTTGGGCTATAAATTATTTTAATTCTAATCATAATTTTAATCATTTGTTGGCAAGGGATTAGGTCTTTGTTCACAGCTACGACAGTGTAAATCAACATATTGCAGTCAAGCAGTTGTAAACAAAGAGCTTACTAGTGATCGGTTCGAATTTGAACTTTAGAACATGAGAAAAGAACATGGAAAATTTTAATTCAAACTTGAACTTAATGCAAGTCTATGGAACTTGAAAAATTAGTTGTCCCCTTTTTCAAGGCTTATATGCAAGTTAATGGCCATAAAAGGTTTATGGGGATACGGGTACTGCCCTGGGGGACATGTATCAATGAAAAAAAACGCTTGTGATGAACTCCCACTGTAGAATGGCATTCTGACAGTTTCCGGCAAAATATAAACAATTGGGCGGAGCTAGCGGTGACAGCTAGCTAGCTCCGCCCAACTGTTTACAGCTGTACGGCATCTGACAGGTGAGCCATTATTGGGCAAAGTCACCATTACTTTGCCCAGCCATGGCTCTTAAGGTGCCCATACACTACACGATTCTCGTACGAGAATCGCAGGAAATCCCGCGATTTCAGCTGGTTTGAATGATGCTCGGGAGACAAATGCCGAACGGGCCGGTGTGCGCACGTGCACACTGCCCGTTCAGCATTGCGGTCATCGGAATCCCGCCCCTCAGGGGGGCGCGCTTCCGATGATCGCAAGTACGATCTGCCTGCCCAAGATGGGCAGATCATACCTTTTTTTAATTACTTTACAACCATCGCAAGACTAAGGTCTTGCGATGGATGTAAAGTGTATGGCCACCTTTACAGAGTACTGTGCCCTGATTTAGCCAATCAGTGCTCACAAGGCACTGTGCTGTGTACAGGGAATGCCCTGATAGTTTGTGTGTTTGCCGAACACACGAACTGTTGATGTTCGAGTCGAACTCTTGCTCCACATCAAGCACATCAAGCACATCCCTAGCGCTTACCATATTATAGATTATCTGCAGATTTTCTATGGTCAGATGGAAAAAGTGCAACAGATTCCTCCATCCACGATAAACTGTGTGGCTGGAGGAATCTCCCACTGGGCCAAGCTTCAGTATCTTGCTAGTCGGCCCCGCTGGCTCTCAATATACCTGAACAATCTGATTGGATGCAGGCATTGTTCAGGTGTTTTAAGAGCCAGCGGGGCTGATTAGCAAGATACTGATGCTTTTTGATAAGGCTATAGGAGCATTTATCATATTTCATCTGTAAAACTATTGTGACTTGTCTTGCTAATCTCATATATTGTCTATGTATATATATATTAATATTGTTTCACGCTCTACAGAATTATTTTTTAAAAACACCACGACTGAGTTTTTTACAAAGTCATTTTTCATTTTATTCTTATGATTATTTAATTTCATGTGTGCCATATCCAACGCTATATCCATATTCAAATCTATTTAAACACAACAGGATCCTTCCTGTCTGTGCTGCATGGCCGGTCGATTTCTTCTGTGCCAGAGTCATCTTGTTTCTCTAATTAATTGCTTTGGATTGTTGATACTTGTCCAACTAATACCTGTTATATCATCAGCTCATCTAGAACACCCAGCTACTTTACCATCATTTTCTTTAACAAGATGTCCCAGTTTCTAGTGCCAAGCCAAGATTTGACATGCATACTTCAAATTCCATGTCCTTGTTCCCATTCTCAGTCTCGAAGGCACTGTCCTCATAATACTTATTTTGTCACATTATAAG